ATATATATATATATATATATATATATATATATATGTTTTATTACCCTATAATTTTAATTATTTTTGTTTGATCATTATTAGAGATATAACTATTAAATTATTTTATGAATGTTAATTTAAAGGCACTAGTTAGTTTTCAATATTTCATCCACTGAAATGAACGTTGTGAACTTTTATCATTTGACCCTAAAACTGAATAAAGCTACTAAAATAGAAAACAAAATAAATAAAAAATAGTTTATGAAAGAGGACAATCCTCAAGGAGAAAATGATCAACTTAGATAACTTAGAGACTTTGTCAATCCTTTGGTAGATTGAGCGTACCAGAGCATTAGTAGATCTCCCAATCTACCATGCATTAATATAAATAACTTCAAACTCAAACAAAATTAAGCAAATGGCTCAATGTTATCAATTTAGTGGTTAACCTATAGAAGATAATCTTCATATTGTTAGTTTTTTAAAAATTTGTGTAACATTTATGTATAACGATGTTTTTGATTATATTGTTGGATTTAGATCATTTCTATTCTTTGAGAGACAAAGACAAAATAAAACTCCGTACCACCTAGTTCAATCACCACAAGGAATGAATTTGTGTAAATATTCCTAGCTAAGTTTTCCTTTCCATCTAAACTTGTTAAACTTATGAATGATATCACTTTTTTTACATAATTAGACAGTGAGTTGACCTATAAAACTTGGGTGAGATCTAAGAACTTATTTAGAAAATGTCCACATAATGACCTATCTGATTGGTTAATCATACAAACTTGTTATAATGAGCTAGTGAGATCATTGAAATCAATTATAAATGTTATTGTTGGAGGATCTTTGATGTCTAAATCATTTAGGAGAACATATGCTTTAATTAAGGAAATGATAACCAATACATTCCAATTTTCTTTTGAGAGAGTTAACCTTAAAAAGGTTATTAATGTTCACGATATATATATGTTAGCCATTTTAACTTCACAGATAGCTATCATATAAAAAATGTTAGACAACTTAGGGGTACGGCAATGCAAGAATCCATTATAAGTGATGATATTGCATATAGACAGAGCATGACATTTCAATTACTGAATTAATGAATGTCATTAAGAAAAGGCCTAACAAACCTAATTCTAACACCTACAACCCTTGTTGGAAAAATCATCCTAATATTAATTGAAATAACAACCAAAATATAGGAAATCATTAATGAAGTAGCAACTAAAAAAACTCTTTAGGCCATCAGAAAAATAAGGTAATAATTTCTCAAACCTTAGACTCACTTATTAACTTGAATTTTTCTCCAATAGTTAATTTAAAAAGAAAAGTTATCATTAGAAGAAGAAGTGTTGTAAATGGAAAATTAGATAAGGAGTCTAGCTATAGCTATTCAAAATATTGAAGCGTAACTAAGGTAGTTAGCTAACACATTGAGTCATAGATCCCAAGGGATGTTACCAAGCAATAATGGGAGAATCCTAAGGACCAAGGTGTATTCCAAGGAGATTAAAATCTAGAGTGGGAAGGTGTTTGAATGGGTAACTAAATAGAAAACATATCAAAAGAACTTAAGATTAAGATAATATTACCCAATTTCTTCAAGTCAAAGTGTTCTGGTCTTCTAGAATCAATTGCTTGGGCATCAAGCTCTCTATTTTTGAACCTATTTTATGCTCTGACTAGCATCATGGTGTTGATTGATACAACACCTTAGTTCAACCTTGAATTTCTTAATTTTTTTATTCTACTTCTGCAAGAACCTTCTATAATAAACACTACAATTAGTAATAATAAATCTCAAAATAATATTTTCTATTCAGAATACAAATTTAAAAATAACCTTTGTATTCTTAGGAATTATTTTATGGGTTTTGAGAGCCAACTAATTATTGTGAAATGGTTCAACTGCCATTCCACATCAAGCTCCCAATTATTGTCTTTAGTTAACTTGGGTTCCATCTAGATTAGGTCCAGTTTCCTTAGATTCAGGTCATATAAATAAGGTAATTAGCAGTATTAAACTTAATTTGTGATAATTTGTTTTAAAGTGGCTAAACCTTGGTCAAGTTGGACTAAGCTTGGATTTCCATTAAGCTAAGCTAATCAATAGAGTTAACGTAGGACTATATGTAATTAGTTAGGGTCTATTCAACCACCAAGAGATTAGAAAGCCCTATATGAACAATAAAACTCCTAGTTTGATCCTAGGATTGACTAGGTTTAATAAAGTTTTAGACAATTCATACTTAAATTTGTATCAACCATGTCATGATCAATTTGAAGGGTGCCTAAATTCTAGCCAAACCTGATTTTCAAACTCATTTGAAGAATACAAGGAGGTTAGGTGCTAAATGTTTTATTAAGCAAAACCTATTAGATGTTTTTGGATCTAGAAGCCACTAACGTTAACAAGGCTTGGATTTATGTGTGAATTGGTTGTGTAAGACTATTCATGAACCACTAGGATGACTTCAGTGCGTCCGAGGATAAAAATTAATCCTACGATGTTAAAACACTAGATGTTTTAGGATCCGCTATGATAAGATGATCTTAACTTCAATCCACTATGCCACCTAAGAACTATTAGAGTAAGCTAGGAACTCATGCTAGAGCTTAGTCATGAACACACCCTTCCTGAAAAAAAAAAAAAAAAAGATTATTATTATTGCTTTGAACTAATGCTTGTCTACAAGATTTTCATTTATGCTTGCATGATAACTTCTTCTTCCAACAGCGTGAATATTCCTGCACACAATATTAATAAAAACTTAACTAAAATCAGGAAGACTTATCATTAATATAACTTTTACATAAATAGAATAGTTTAATGTAATTTTACTTAGTTAATATTTATAGCATATTTATTCAGATTAATTTATGACTAATTATCATTATAACATCTTGAAAAGTTATGCTTAATTTAAGTGCTAAGCAAAAAAAAATGCCCTTAAGCATGACCTCATAATCAATCCTATATCCCTTGGGCTTTCATTTATCAGGTTCATATTCAATTAATTAGGTTTTTCCAGGAACGTTTTCTAAAAATTATTTTTTGGGGTGTAATTTTCAAATAAATTTCTTATACTAAGAGTTTGTTTGGGGCAGCTGCAACTTATTAAATAATCTGCTGATAAACTGATTAAAATTAATCTACTGGTAAGTTAGGTGCGGTAGCTATTGCAATTTTTTATTTTCTTGGAAAAGTCAGACCGCGGCCAAAAAGCTGTCATCGCACGTAGACAGGTGCGGCGTGAAAATGTTATTTTCAGCATTTTGAAAATGCATAAATTGCAAAAATACAGTTTACTCAAACAACTCAGATCCGCTTTCAAAACACCGCCGCACAAAATAAGCTGACGCAAAGTATCCTAAATCTAGAAACTGATTATTATTCCATGAATTTTTTAAATGATAGAACACCCATAATCGTTTAGTGTTCTTGGAATTCCAAACTATGTTTTTCTGGAAACGACACAATGGGTGGGACCATCTCTGATGTTATGGTTGTCTTGTGACTGCTAATCATCAATCATTAAAAGATTACTTCAACTTTTAACCGGCTGGTAGAATAATAAAACTTAAATTCCTTTATAATAATAAATTAAATGATAAAATTAGAATTCCGAGTTTATAATCGAGTCATGTTTGAAATGGTTAGAAAACAATATGCTAGTATTCGGCCGATCAGAGCGTTGATGAGAAATTTTAATCTCGGTCAATCAACCGACCCATTTTTATAATGGCGAATGAGATCACCACTCGATTAGACGTCTCAGGCGATCGACATAAGGCACGATTACCACTCTACCGGTCGCTTCAGTCTGTCGAATTCAAGCAAATCAACCAGAAAATTACCGTCATCGTAGAATTTAAATTGTAATACATATCTACTCTACACGATTGATTCGAACATGAAATGAATTAAGAACAGTTTTCATAATCGCTTCATCTTTTTTATAATTATACAAAACACGTCTCTATAAATAGAAGACAAATATACAAATAAAAGGATTTCTCTGAATTTTCTCTTGACAGTAAATTCTTGGCTATCATACTATCTCTTCCTCCTCTGTTTGTTTCTAACACTTAAGACATTTACACAAAGAACAATTCAAGATTCAACACATAAATTCTTATTTCGTCTGATAAAATAGTGAATCACCACATTTTCCCAAATATTTGAACAAAAATGATGACTTCTCTCTATTTTAAACTATGATGATGCCCGTTAGCTCCTTCAAATAAAATCAAACTTCCACTATCAATAATTAGAAATTCCAATCTCATCCCGAATCTTAAGGAAGTACCAGAGAAATACCGCCATGGAAAGCTTCAGTTAAGAGTGAGCTGGCTGAATAAAGCGCTTCATTCGCCCACCCACTCCGACGGCACCTAACAGGTGGCCTCTCTCTCATATGTGCTGGTTTCCGACTTCCTCCCCCTTCCAAAACGAGTCATTCTTTGAAATAATTCGTATAAATAATTAAATCATTTCTACTTTTATTTTATTTTTTTAATTTAATGAAGGTCTACCATTAGTATGGTTGGTGATGCATCCTCCTCCGTCCCACCTTTTTTTTTTTTTTTTTTTTTTTCTTCGTAATTTATAAATAATAATATTTTCATCCTTCTCCTCCCCGCTATTTTGTCTCGCTCTGTTCCGTGAGAGAGGGAGCGGCCTGCTTTCCCAGGCGGTCGGCGGCACTCGGCGGCGCTCTTTCCCCATCCCTGTGGCTGTTCTGTCTCCTACACTCTTCTAAAAACCCCGCTTTGATTTAGAAATCTGCGGCTTTCTCCGGCGATCCACTTCCCCGCTAAATCTCTGACGGCTTGTTACTTTACTAGTGTCGGATCGGATTCAGGTTTTTGTAAGATGATGCGCATGAGGACTGCAACGGCTGTAGCGGCGGAGGGGCCCGCCGGGCCGGTGAAAGCTTTTGTGCCTATGAAGGATTTTCCGGCGGTGGTTCCGGTGAATGAGCAGTCAAAGTGGGAGGTTCGACCCTGCGGCATGCTCGTGCAGAAACGGAGCTCGGAGGAGGGCGCCGCTGCAGTACCCGTGCCGACCTTCCGCCTGCGTGTGAAGCACGGTTCTATCTACCATGAGATCTACATTAGTTCTCAGGCGACCTTCGGTAATTTTATTAATGCTCTTTTATTTCTGGATATAGATTGGAAAGTATTCGTTTTTGAATGTGACAATGCGAAAGGTCACGGCTTTAAGCAGGGGATCTGAAAAAGCTTCTCGCGGAGCGAACAGGGCTGCACCCGCAGGACCAGAAGATAGTCTTTAAGGACAAGGAGCGAGATTCCGCCTCTTATCTGGATATGTCCGGTGTGAAAGACAGATCAAAAATGGTGGTCGTGGAGGATCCTGCGGCTCAGGCCAAGCGAGTTCTTGAGATGCGGCGTGCTGCCAAGATGGATAAGGCCGTAAAATCAATCTCCCAGATCAGTCTCGAGGTGGACAAGCTCGCCTCGCAGGTCCGTACTTTCGTCGAACACCTCATGGCATTATTTCATCATCACAGTTTATTTTTTTTCCGAATTCACGAATTCTTTTCCTTGACCTACTCGCAGGTGTCGGCGCTGGAAGTCGTTTTTTCGAAAGGAGGGAAAGTTTCGGAGAACGAGTTGCTGAGACTAATCGAGCTGTTGATGAACGAGCTGCTTAAATTAGACGGTGTATTCGCCGATGGTGAAGCCAAGCTCCAGAGAAGAATGCAGGTATGAATCCAAAATCAATTCTTTTGACGAACCCTGTCATATTCTCATCTGGCTATCTCCAATGTACGGATTCATGTGAATCAGGTCAAAAGAGTTCAGAAGTACGTGGAGAGGCTGGATGTGATTAAGCTTAAGAATGCGATACCAAAGATGTATGATGAAGAAACTCCGGAGGCGGCAGCGCCGCCGCCGCCGCCGCCGCAGCAACGACAAAGGAAAAAGTCGTCTTCTTCCACGCAGCCGCCCTCGGTTATCGTAACAACAAAGTGGGAGACTTTCGACTCCCTCTTCTCCCCCCGCGCCTCTGCATCTACTTCATCCACCACCACTGCCTCCTCCACCGCTGCTTCATCGGCGGCGCCCACCCCAAGGTTCGACTGGGAATTGTTCTGATTCCAGGTTAGATCAAATTACACCGACGGTTTATTCAGGTTTGTAGATCAAAGATGGGACTTTGGCCGTCGCTGATGAATGTGATTGGTGGTCGTCCTCTTCGTACTTCTTTTATTGTGTTTGTTCTCTCTTCTCTTCACATTTTAAAACTTTTTTTAAAACCATTGTTGTTATTCTTTACGTATATGAATGTGCAGATCTTGTCATAATGAAGGGCATGTTTATGTTTACTATTTTAGATAAGGATCATCGCCTTGTAAAAATAAATTTGGGCTTATATAATAAATCAATGAGATGAAGCTGCAAGTCCATCTTTCTGTGCCCAATGATTGCAATCATACCTCATCTTTTCTTTGTTTTCTTTTTGTATGGTAGAAGTAATTATGGATTTGGCTTGGTGGGATGTGTTCTGTTTTAGCCTCCAAGTATGCCAAAGTTGTAGGACTGAAACTAGAGTTGGAGGGATGATAGAACACCTTTTGTAGCTTTGCTGGGGATGGTGCCTTGCTTTATTCTTATCCATCCATGTGGGTTGGGTGGGAGGAGATGGAAGAGAGAGATAATAAATTGCTGGATTGAGGTGACAACTAATATGAAAAGGATGTGAATGGTGTGGGTAGAGTTTGGAGCTCCAAATCAACTTTAAAAAAATTTGATCCAAATTTATAGCTCCTTGTTCGACTTTTTTATTTTGAGCCGAGCCAAAATTCAAATCAATTTTGGAGCAATTCACGAATTTTGAACTAAATTAGCTAAATTCACATGCCTTTGCATCACTAGGGTTGTTAAGGATTCGATTTCGAGTTGATCTGGGTCGGCTCGAAAAAAGTTTGATCTAAAATTTTGGTGTGGAGCTCGGCTCATTTATTTTGATCCGTGCCAAAATTTGAGCAAATCTTCGAGTGATTTACGATCTTTGAGCTAAATTTACAACCCTAGAACAGTCCAATGATTTGAAGGTTTTAGTTCATGGATGATATAGTTCACAAAAGTAATTTGTTCAACTATGATTTTATATATTTTTCTTTCGATCTTTGACTTTTTGAATTTAAAAAAGTAAAATTCGTAAAGATTTAAAAGTTTTTCAAATGTCTATATTCTACTCTATGTAAATTGGCAATCGAGATAACGAATTTCAACGAGATAAATTCACCCTGAACAATATCACATGAATTTTTATGGCATTGCATATCAAGGCACCAAAACCATTTTGATCTAGATCAAACTAGGCCGATCTATTGGGGATTGACTGACCATCTGCCCTCTTCTCTATTGCTTGAATTGCATGGCGTTTCAGTGTTAAGACACTCTCAAATAGGATAAAATATTGCGTCCGGATTCCGGATGCAAGCTGCATCCAGACAGCGGACGGCGATACACCGGAGTATTTTTATTTCCTCATCCTCTACTTCCGGTGTATCGCATCCGTTGTCCAGACGCGATATTTTTTTCTTCAAGGAGAGCATATTTTTGTTCATAAAAAACCAAATCTAGTAGACATTTTTCGGCATTACAAAACTTAGGCATGAATGGTTTTTTTTTTTTTTTTTTGAATTACTTTGACTACTACGTGCCTCGGATTTGTGAATGCAAAATATATCTATTGTTTCAACTAATGAAGTAGTGAATAGAGTAATATTTTTATAAGGATCAATTTGAAGATTTATTTTAAGTTAAATACTAATTTTTAAAAGATTATTTTGTCCAACAAATTTAAATAATAATTTTCAAAGAAAGTATTTTCTTACATAAAACTATACACTGCACAATTTGCTTTTGTTGTTTTTCTAATGAGTAAACACAAATGTAGTTGATATAATATTCAATTATTATTCTTAAATGAGAGCAATAATGTTTCATGGTCTCTTTTGATAACATACGGCACTTGATCATTTGTATGTATTAGGTATATTTAAATCATAATCAATTCAAATGATTGCATTAAAATCATTTCTAATCTGCAAGTATGATAAGCTTATATAGCCAAAAAATTATTTTTTTTACCCTATTTATTCCACAGTAGTTCTTCCTTTACCTATGGATGATGCAAGATTTTGAAAAGGTCTTGGCTAAATGAAGATCTAGTAAACCAAAATAATCTAAAAGTTACTTTTTCACAATATGAATACTTTATGCAAAAAAAACAATCATGTTTGAAAAAAAAAACTTAAAATAATTCAAAGAATCTAAGAAAACTACACAATACAATGTAAACCAAGAAAGGAAAGGAACTAGATATCTCTTGATGCCTTCTGTTCTTGGTCTTTCCACTTTATGTACACTCACTCTCGCTCTCAGTCTTTAAGACAAACACTCACTAAGGGTCTGTTTGGGGTAGGTGTATCTTCTTTAAAAGTTGATGCGCAACAGCTGTTGCGAATAAGCTGATTGTCTATTTGTATTTTGCAGTTTTGAAATAACTGTGTTGCAGCTATTTCTGAACATATGACATTTTTGCTCATATACTGCAATGTTGTTTATAACAAAATTGTTCATACTAGCACATTTCATATTTGAAGAAAATATTCAGTTCGAACATTACAAAATAAAAATAGACACCTCACTAAATAGTGAGTAACACGACAATAAAAATAAAAAAAATATTAAAATAATAATTAATAATATGATAATATTATTTTTAAAACGTACTTCATTTATGTCATGCGATAAGCCACCCTACAAGAAAACTCTTCATATATGATCACTATCGATGGTGAAATCCTTCAACTTATTCGTCCACCTAAAGAAGTTGCAGCATTCGTCTCTTCTCCTCCAACACCTGTAAAATTGTCTCTTGTTGCTATGTGATTATCGTGAAGTAAGTAAAGAACATTGTAGTAAGCAGTAGCAGTAAAATGCTCTAGAAGTACTGGAAATCCTCGAACTCATCTTTAAAACCATAAAGCACAGACCCTTAACTGCAACATTAGTGAAAACAAATAATAAAATTAATAAATTAAAGTTTTATGTGGTTGTGAAGTCTCAGAGAACACGATAATAAACTAATGAATTTGTCACTACAAGAAGACAACAGACCTTATAAAAAAATTGTTCTTAGTTGTTTTTAAACCACATAATACCAAACTCGTGTGTGTCACATATTCATATCACAAAGAAAAAAGACCATCCAAAAGAACCTTAAATACCATAACACCGAAGAAGGAGAGGAACCTGGTTGCCTTCATTGGGATTTCACATGTAACGAGAATCAATAATGATATATATGTTATCCAAAAAAACCCTTAAGGTCGAATGTCGCATCATAAACGTATAAAACCCAAAAAATAAAAATAATAAAAAATAATATTGCATATTTTATCCACAATTGCCTCATCGGTCATCTAGGTGGGAAAGAATACATGCATAAGAACTGAAAATAAAATTGAGGTTCAAAATATTTATTACTTGTATAAGAGTATTAATACAACAAACAATAAATATTTCTATAACACATTACAAATAAGTAGCAACAAGAAAACAGTTGTTCCCTCCGTTCAGCCTCTAACAAAAACATCTGTAATTTGTTCCCTCAACTCTATCATCTCACTTGTCCCTTCCCCATCCTGGGTGTAAGTCTAATGCAAATCATTATCGACCAGTGATAAAGATAGCCTAAGGCAATATTCATATGCTTCAACAAGAATATGTGATTGAACTTCAACATCTCTATTGAAGTCAATGTCTTTACACGAAGGTTGCCGCTAAATAAAATCATGGAGAGCAATCGTGACTAGACTAAACAACTCTTCCCTTTCTTACTCATTCAAGCTCACCAATACACATTTGGTTTCCGCAGCATAACCCTCCTCTTTCATTTTCTCCTTGAGGACCCTCACAAACTTGTATATTTGCTCCATCATAGGACGTTGTTTATTGAACAAGACGAAATAATGAATTTTCCCTCCAACCTTCGTTGAACTCCTCCCTAGAAGCTTCGAAACCTTCCTCTCCCTCATCAACTTCCGCAGCTTCACATTGCCATTCCAAATAGATGTTGGAAATGAGAATGAACCAACCATCATTACTGCGATCCAGCTTCAAGATTTCATCCGTGTGTCGCTTGCCAATGTCAACATTGTTGTATATTTTGCATGCACTCAAAAACCCACCCTAAATGCCGACATCATGTTTCATGCACATTGTCTTGACGAACCTCTCGACCTCTTTCAGTCTACCTGCTTTGGCAAGCAAATCAACCATAAAACCTCAATGCTCTTATGTAGACACAATACAATAGCCTTTAGTCATCTTCTTGAAGTATTTTTCGCCCTCATCAACCATACCCTCATGGCTGACACCAGACAAAATGCCCGTAAAACTGATACTATCTGACTCAACACCAAATTCCACCATCTAGTTATATAACATCTCTACATCTTTGCAAGCCCATGAATTACATAGGCATAAATGATGGCAGTCTAACATACGAGATCCCGTATATATATATATATATATATATATATATCTATATATA